CCCCCCCCCCCCCCCCCCTTTAATCCTTTCACTGCCAGAGTGCTTGATGGAATTTTGTAGGGTGACTCTAACTTTCAAGTCTGTGGGCAAAATCCTATGATGTGACCATACAAATGAAAGCTCTCTGCCTGTACTTTCAAATGGTGCTATTATTTTTCAATATTTTAGAAAGTGGAATTTGGAAATCTGGTCGAAATTGGCCTGAAGCTACATTTGGCAGTGAAAGGGCTAAACCTGCTAGTTGAAAAATAAACTCTTGGGAGGCGTAATAGAGGATTTACGGTAATTTAACAAAATGTCTAGTTTTTCTAGGTATAGAGAACAAACATTGCACTTTCCCCCATCAGTAATGCTTGGTACAGTGTACATTTGTTGTAAAAGAACAGCTTAAATGTTATTTTATTTGGAAAATCTTCTCTTGTATAGAGGCATTAGTGTTCTTGTAAACTTGAGCAAATGTTAGTCTGAGTCTTACAGGGGGTGGGGGGTTTGGGGGGTAAGTAAGTAAGTACATTACTTTATTAAAGTGTCAGTGGTTCTAGTGTTTACACACTGATAAATTGGAGACACTATTATGATAAAAAAATATATTTACTCAATTGCATATTACATCTACAACATCAATATTAAAATAAGCTTTTGCCCGGTGACATTAAAAACTATTTTAAAAAAACATATAAAGTCAAAAACCATTTCCCAGTTAAATTCACAAAAATGACATTAAAAACTATTGCCCAATGACATCTAACATAAAATGCTAAAAATGGTTATGTAATAATAAAAGGTGATAAAAATATATACAAAACCTACACTAGTTTTGACAAAGGACACAATTGTTACAGCTAATGTCTAAAAATATGCAATCTATTTTTTATTTAAAAGCCAAGACTGCGCTTTACTATTTTCTGTCTGTAAGGTTTAGTTTTAGTTTTATCAGGAGGCAGAGTCTTACATGCTTTGGGTCAGGAAGGTAAAGGGAAAGTTAAGAGTTGAACAAAAAAAATTGAATTAATGGCAAAAATTACCAAAGAGAGATTACTAGCCTAGGGGGGGAGAGGGAGAAGGACAAGGAAGGAGTAGCAGGAGGAAGAGAAGGAGAAGGAAGTATAAGGAGGAGGAGGAGAAGAAGGGAGAGGAGAAGAAAAAGGAAAAGAAGAAGGAGGGAGGAGGAGAAAGGATGAGGATGAGCAGGAGGAGGAGGATCAGAGGAGGAAAAAGAAAAGGAGAATATCGAAGGAGGAAGAAGGAGGAGGAGGAGGAGGAGGAGGAGGAGGAGGAGGAGGAGGAGGAGAAGGAGAAGGAAGGATGAGGAGGAGAAGGAGGATTAAACCTCACTACTTTATGCAGAGTCTCCATGTTGTTTTAGAATTAGGAACTCCAAATGTCTTAACTTGGTGTTAGCAGGTTGATCTGTTCACTACTACAATAAAGAATGACCAAAACGTAACATTTATGTACCTGTTTAAAATTATGAATTAAATTATGAAAATTTAAGCTTATGTTTAAACACTATGTCTACTACATTTATTTCAGTTTCCAGTTCATTATTTTGTTCTCTGCAGTTTGAGGCCAGAAGTAAACAAGTGCCTGAATAAGGGCTGGAAGCAAGACTTGGCCTGACTTTTTCTTTTAGTGGCCCCTTAATTTATTTGAAGTTTTCATTTTACATAGTACAATTAAAGTAAAAAGGAAAAACAAACAAACAAACAAACAAAACAAAAAACTATTACAGCAGACAACATCTAAGTTGATAGAAAGTACTTATCTTAACATTTATGAACAACATTTAATTGTTTATGAGATCACATTATTTATATTGATTAACGTTTCTCACTTACTAATTTGGTGGGAAAAATTTATCAACACATTTACAGCAATCTGACACTCAAAGATATACTTCATTGACGTAATAGATCAAAAACGAGTGCGAGGTTTTCATCAACACCGAGAAATGGATGAAAGCACGACGCCGAAGGCGGAGTGCTTTTATTGTTTCGAGGTGTTTGGAACCCCTGATGAAAACCGAAGCACGAGTTTTTGATCTGACTTCTCAAACTAATGTGAGAATTTAGTGGAATTATTTCCGAAGAATATAGGTAATTAGAAGACGTGCTCAATAGGCTATTGTTTGTTTCTTATTTGTTGTAAATGAAATGAATATTTAATATGCGGCCATGCTGGCGGGTTTTTTAGTAGATTAACATTACGTCGCGTTATGGAGGTCAAGTCCGGATCAGAACGATTTTGCGTTCCTAAAACTTCTTTTCAAGAAAATGCTCTGGTGAATGACGCCGTTCCAGCTTCAACTAAGTATAAAAACAAGTGGGCTGTGAGCATTTTTGCCGAATGGCAGAGGTTAAGAGAGGTTCAAGTTCCCGTATTAGATTGTGGTGGTCTCTTCAAGGACTACGATTTACACAAGGTTACCTCTCTGAGCGCAGATATTGCTGGAATGGATGCTCTGTTGCTGAACTATTGGTTGTCAAAATTCGTGATGGAGGTAGCTAAAAAGTGCGGCGGAAGATACCCTCCCAAGACTGTTTATGGTATTATTTGTGCACTCAAACGTTATTTGGAGGAGAAAAATGGATCCGAAGCTTTGAATCCTCTGGACGCTAGTAACAAAAGGTAATTGACAACTTTTAGACCACATTGGTCAGAATTTTAAAATGAACTGTTTTGGGAATTGAATTTGGTGTGTTGTTTTTCGAAGGTTTGTCCTGTTCCGACGTTGCTTAGATGCCGAGGTAAGGAAAGCATTCAAGAAGGGCTTCACATTAAGTGCAAGAAGGAGGAGAAGGAGTTTGTGAGCGAACAAGAAGAAGCAACATTCTGGCAGAAGATTGGATCATCAGGACATGAATAATTAATGAGTTTGAGAAATGCTGCGTCAAGCTTTGAATAACAGAAAATGAAAGGAAAATAACCACAAAAACAAAAACAAAAACAACAGAGTACAACCACTTAATACTGATACAAACAATTAAAAGAGCAGCCAGATAACTATCTCAAACACTGTGCTCTGGAATAGAACTTAAGTAAAGTTGTTTATTTCGCAAAGGGACCTTAGAGTCAGCTTGAACAACAGAGTTTTTTCTTGTTTTCTTCTGTAGATGTTTTGATAAAGGAATGATCTCAATTCAGAGTTTACTAATTTACCTCTGTAAAGGCCTTAGGCTTTTATTGTGACAAAGAATCATTCATGCAGTATCTTTCATAGCTGACAAACACCCAGGCAGTAGATGTTTCTGATGTAGAGGTTCTCTGATGTAGGATTTGATCGCAAATTAAATACAGTTTACTCTGTTAAAGCCTTGTTAGGCTTTTATTGCAGCTAAATTAACCTTATTAATAGTTTCTTTGGTTTACTTGAAATGCTTGGACCTTCATGAATACCTGCCAACGTGTACAAATGTAGTTTTTTTTTTAGTGAATATCATGATTTCTAGCTGATTTGTTTTAATGCTGGGAATGAAGGCTAGATTGCAAAATACACCACACTGCATCTGTAGCAATCAGAAGACAATGAAAAACCAGTCGGCAAATTTACAAACACACTCTGGCCTCGACA